AGGGGTCCGAAGCATGCCCTCTCTGTGTGATCGGGTGAGACGGGTTGAAGTCATGGGGGAGAGGTAACCTTAAGGTAACCTTAGGTAACCTGGTCCCATGCCATGTAGGGCTTTAAAGATGATAACCAACACCTTGAATTGGACCCGGAAGCATTATAGTTAATCCAGGCCCCATGTATTTGTAATCCAACCACCTAACTAAATGCATTGCCCCTCCCTCAAGGATGAATATATCACCTCCTGTATCCAGCTACCCTTTCCTCTCTAGCTGTGTGTAGCAGCCAGGAGGGGCACAGATCCAATTTATGGATGACTGAGCTCATTCCACAGAGGACCATGTCCACTTTAGTACCACAGGCATGGACAAGTCCCAAATGACTTTGCAGGATGTTGCTTCTCTTGTGTCATGAAACCTTGCCCATCTAGCATCCAACAGAGCAGATATAAGCAAGTTTATCCATAAAGTCCCTAGCCAGCAGGATCTTCAAGGCCCACTGTACTAAAAAAAGCACAAGATGCTTCAAATAACATCACTGGTCAGCACTCCACAGATGCAGTAAGTGCTAAGAAATATTAATGCCTAAGAATGATCACCATGCGCACCTCTATATATATTTCCTTGGATTAACAAAAATGCTCCTCCCCTTGATCCAAGAACTGAAACACAGATAAAGTCTCACAGCGTTAAAGAAACGTGTGATAATGCACATATCCCCTTACAAACACTGCTTTCTTCTTGTGCAATGATCATATTACTCATTATTGCATGGCTTTGATTGTGTTACTGTAATGGGCTGACAGCTGTAACCAGCATATATTACATTATATTCTTCATATCAATCCAAAGAGCGGCAATTGAGCACAAACAATGAGCACTTACAGTTCTGTTTTATGAACTTATAGGAGCTGCTCTAAGTTTTAAAACAATGTCTTAGGCAGCCTGGCCGTGGATTTCATATAGGAGAAGATAAAGTCCCTCACTTCTGTTAAATGAACAGAGCCAACAACTCCTTCCTGAGTTTCTGCTTATTGAAACCCTAACATGGAACTAGCCATTAATGCTCAAATTCTGGAAGAAAAGGTAGGGGGGCCTTCCTAAAATCACAACCCTCACCCTTTGCAATACCACTTCTCCCCCCCCCCATCCTGCCCCTCCAATTGCCTTCCTAAAATGAAAAGAAAGCAGGTCCCTATGGTAAAGGGCTCAAACATTACCCTCTATTTCTAGATATAGTGTTTAGGTTTCTGTTCCTTTAAAAGCAATAAATAGATTTGGATTCCACTTCAGATCCCTTACAAAACCTCCATCTAGCACAGTGCTGAGATTCATTCATCTCTCTTGGATGGCCCTACTTTTGATTTACACCTACTGTATAGAGAATTTGTTTCCATTCCCAAGTGGGGCCCAGAGCTGCCCGCTTATCTTTCCTGCAATAAGAATTACTATGTATATTGACAAATCTCTTTCCTTATCTTCTCCTTTTTTTTTTCCCCAGTAGCTGATTCTCCTTACTGGGACCTGAGAAATATAGTCAGCTCCATTGCTGCTATCACTCTTAGGTCATTTAGTTACACATTCTGTACACCGGTTGGAAAGTCACATCTGATTTCCCAGTATAGTTGTGCACAGTGAAACAAGTATGTTTTCAAAACAGGCAGGTAGGGCAGTCTCTATGTCACTGAAGTCTTAGCCATGATGGCTAAAGGTTACTTGAAGATACCAGAAACAGTGTGGGATGGCTGTTGTCTAAATGTCCACTTTGATTGTTTCCTGGAAGCTGGTGACTCTTCAAAAATAGTATGCTAAGCAATGGTAATAATTTAGATGGTCCCCAGCCATAACTGAGTACAGTAGGACTTTATATTTGTTCAGAGAATCTTCACTACAAGGACAATTCTTCAGGTTAGAACTTCAGGACCAGTCCTACCGTTAGACAACAAAGTGCTCAACCTTTTAAGCCATAAGCTTAGGAGTCCATTTGAAAAGCAGCCAGTGAAGAATAGTTTCACTTATTAATTATTGTAATACTTTTACTCCTGTCATGGATTTTCTGAGAAAGCTCCAAAATGTTTGGGGCTACCTGCAAGGAAATTCATCACAAAGGAGCACAGCCTTGGATGTGATGGTTCTGTTTAGCAATGGAAGAGAAAGCCCCCCAAGGCTTTTCCTGCACAGCTTTGCTCCCACTGCTGAAATATCTGTGATACTTACAGACTGCTGTGGGAAGATGCTGGAAAACCAATCAATAGGGCAGCCACCAGATAGAGAGCCATCCCCTCCATGGTAGTCCCAAGGGGCAGGAGAGGTGGCAACAACTCCAGTATTTATCCAGAGAGCCTGCTTTGAAACCAAGCCCCTTTGCAATTGCTGTTTAATCGGGGGGGGGGGGGTAGGGGGGGAGGAGCTTAAGCAACCAGGGGATTTCAGAGGAAATTAACCAGGCTCTTAAAAATCACAATCGTTTATTTGTCTTCTCCCTCTGTGTTCAGTGCAATTGCTAAATAGCACTTTTTGTGCAATCTGTTCTTGATATTCTGCTGGCAGGTGATACAGTCTGCAAACATCTCTTTATCTTGTGATCTGGAACTCACTCACTCACTTTGCCTCCCTTCTTCATACGCATTTGGAAGGGGTTTTAAGCTAGATGAATTTTGGGGTACAGCTACTCACCCAAAATCTGTCCCTAAACAGATCACAGTAAGGCTATTAAGGCAGTGTTGTTGTTGTTTCCACAAGTTTTTGGAGCAGGAAGTGCTGCTTACTTGGAGGCATCTGCTTGGGGGGTTGGGGATATGGGACTCGGAAGACGATTTTTCGATGTGGTTCTAATCATGTGCTTAATTTTTTTTTTATAGATGTAAACAGCCTACAGTGTCTCATGAAGCAGACAATGCAAATATATAAATAAATAAACAGATGAATAGATGAATAAATAAGCAAGCAATGAAAGAATGTGCTTCACTACACAGTTACCTTTTTACCCTTTTTATGGCTGAGAACATCTTGGATGTGTGTTCTTCTAAGAGGGCACCACTCAAACAGGAATAATATTCCCCTTTCTCTTTAGTGGATTGCTGTTAGTGCCAGCAAGGACATTTTTTGAGAGTTAGGGGTTTCTGAATCTCTTTGCAGTCATCTTGTAGTTACCTGGATGTTTACAACTAGATGTGGTAGTCCTAGGTATTCCTATTTTCCTTTTCCCAAATACTACCCTTGAAGCTACTGTGGTATCCCATTGACAGCATTCAGACTCAAGTAAGAAAAACAATTAAAACCTGTATAACTTTACAATAATGCATTTGTGATCACTTTATTTCAAATTAATGGGATAGTGTGCATAACTATAAACAAAATCAGCATGATTAGGATGAAAATATTTTCCAGGAAAACAAGCTTGCTATTCCTGAAGGTTGTCAGGGTCAATGAAAGAACAGAAAAGGCCTGGCATAAACTAAACTGAAATTAATCTTAACTAAGCACATTCCAGGAATCAGAAACCTTGCATCCCAAAGTTAAAGTTGCATTGGCATTTTGAAGATACTTTTTTTCTTTTAAAGTGTTATTTAAAACGTTATTTCATTGTTTTACAAAATTATATTTTACTTGTAAGCACTTCAGGCATGGAGTATTTTATAATCTACACTTGAGGAACAATTACATTTGGGTATTCAGTAGGGTCCTGGGCAGATACTATTTTTAACTCCTCCCAAATGTGTAATGTAGAAATTGATCTATCCACTCAGTCCCTCCTGAACCATACATCTCAAAATCTGGGGAAAAGAAAAATTCTAAATGGAACTAGACGTTTCATGAAAATCTATATAGGAAATCTACAAATGGCCATTTTTTTTTACAGCAACATGCCTTTGGGAGGGGCCCAGTGTTGAGCAGAGAGAAGAAAGTGACTAAAATGACTAAACCAAATCTGACTACAACAACTCCATGTATTTCGAGTGCCCTCCACCAACACTGGCAGGTCACTGGCACTGGCTACTGTATATAAACAGGGAGCAAACCCCATATTCACTAGCATTGATGATGTTGCCTAGCCAGGTAGTGAAACGTCTGCAAGTAAACAACCGAGTTCAGAGAGCATTGGGACTCCACAGTTCAACCCTGAGCTACATGTATTCTCTTCTACTGGAGCATAGTGAGTTCTTGAATTTTCCCCAAGTAAACCCTCACATAGAAAGCTATGCCTGCCCTCCCACCAAAAAAGCAGGGCCAATTACCAAAGAGTGTCCAAAGATGCCTTTGCATCTTAAGCATATTTTGTTTTCCATGCTACAATTCTCAGTAGGATTATGCACAAGTTACAAAAACGGGCATTTTCTAGCATGGTCTAACTATGTGTTTAATTAGAATGCACACTGGAAGTCAAACGGGCTGCAGTTATTGCCAGATGAAATGTATAAGCAAGTCAGTTAAGAAGCGTTTTATAAGTTACATTTACTTTTGCACATCAGCAAAGAGTTAATCAGGAAATATTATTCATCAGATGGTTTCCAGTTAGAGGCTTTCTTGGCAGGATATCTGGACAGCAAGGGAGCCTGGACAATCTCCAGAGACAATTGCACCATATCTACCTGTTTACTTTGGCTTGCTGAAAAGTATGTTTGGGGAGTGGAGAGTGTTCTTTGACCTCTACATGTGTGTAACTGCAAAGGTAGGGCAGGAGGTGGAAAATGAGAGGTAGGGGCCGCAAAGTGACTTGAATACTCAAAAGGAGATGCAGCATCCAGCTGAGCCGGGAGAGTTTGCTTTCAGCCTCCTGAGCTTGTGGCAGTTCTTAATAAGCTTGCTGTCATCATTTGATCAGGAACTTTTTGAATTTGTTAAGACAGCAATAAAATAGCTACATTAAAGCTGACTGGTGTTCACAATGTCGTAGGAGAATTTTCAGCATATGCTAGACTACCTTCCAGATTGAAATAAAATACTTTAAAGGGAAGATGAGTTCCTAGGGACAATTCCTGGGCATTACATTCTACAATGGAGCAATACATTTCCTTCATTTTGTGGGAAGCTTTGTAGCCAAAGGGTAAGACTTTACATTGTAGCATCTGTTGTTCACATGAACCAGAGTTTATCTCAGCTATGACCACCTGAGTATTCAATGCAGTGCCAACATAGACTTGATGCCCAGAGTTTGTATGCCGTGTTATAGAATTTTTGTCTCTAACTAGGCTCCTTCTTGGGAGGCATACCAACTTGGAGATTGGGCAGCCAGAACCCAGTAGAGGTTATTTTAGTATATGAATACTCACCAGACTGAGTAAACTGGTGAAAGTATTGTTGAAAACCTCTAGATTACTGTCCTGGAAGACTTCAATATCCATTTCACGGTTGTTTGTCTTGGGCCACTTCTATAGATTTTGCTCCAACATGTCATTCCCTCAAGACATATAGCAGAGGGCATCTAGTGCTGTCATGGATGTTTGAATATGTATTTCTCTCTGTATGTTTTCGCCTCTGTTTTGGGACAGTAGTGAAGCTCATTCCCACTCAGCTAGATGGCAGCTCCTAGCTAAACTTGGTTGATCTTGAAATGCTAGGCTGGGTCATATGGAATATATGTATATAAAAAAATCTCCTCTCACCCCTATGAGTGGTATGTGTCTTCTTCAATCTTGGGTCTTCTACCAGAGGCCTGAGAGTTTGAGAGTTCTGTGCAGTATCTGAGCTGTTCCTAGCACTGCACTCTTCTGGACAGAGAGCCCTGATGTTGTTCCTTGGATCTGTTGGAGCCATTCTCCCAGCTTAGGAATCACAGCCCCAAGTGCTCCTACCACTACTGGGACCACTTTGGCCTTTACTTTCCACATCCTCTCTAGTTCATCCTTCAGGCCCTGGTACTTCTCCTGCTTCCCATACTCCTCCTTCCTGATGCCGCTGTTGCTTGATACCGCTACATCTATCACCACCACTGCCTGCATCTTATACTCTGCCACTATGTATTGGACTGTCTCTGAGGCCTCTCTGCACAGTCTGCACCTTGGTGTCTAGTGTGGTAGACCCCTGCTTCTATGGGTCTAGTGCTTAGTACCTGTTCTTGTGCTGCTACGATCAGTGCCTCAGTGCTGTCTTTTAGTCCAGCCCTTTTGAGCCACTGATAGGATTTCCCAATGTCGGCCACCTTAGCTATCTGGTACATGTGTGTGCGCACGCACACACGCACACACACACACACTTCTTCAAGATGTAGTGGCAGGGACAGATTAAGGCCAACTAATGCCCTAAGCAAACAATAGTGCCCTCAGTCCTTCCATTGTTAACTGACAAGACATTAAGACTCAGTAAGGGCTGAAAACTAAACTTGAGCATGGCAATGAAAGAGTTAAGGGCATGATAGCTGGGGAAAAATTCTGTGGTGCCCCCCTCCCCTTGGTGCCCTAAGCAGGTGCTTCTTTTGCTTAAAGGTTATTCCAGGGCTGTCCAATAGACATTAATAAAAACATTAACAGTGTCTTCTCAGAAGTATAGTCTTATCAGAAAATAATGACAAAACACCTAGATATGTTTTCATTATTCTTTGAGTCTTTGATTCACTTTCCCAAAATACCATATCCTAACAGTTACTGACTTTTGGACATGACCACCTCATATGTAAAAAAATACCTCTGCTTTACAATATCTGTTGGTTCTTAATGTGAATGAAACCAGTTTCATTGAGAAATGGTTTCAGGCACATCCTGACTCCTAAGTGAGAAACCTGAAATTTCCACACACACTGAGGGACACAGTGTCAACAAAACGGTCACTCTTTGGGCTTCAGAGGTGATATGTGATACAGTCAGTTCTCTTCCCCTCAATAGAATCAGATCAGATCCTTGAGTGACTGGAAAGTTCATGCCAATGAAGTTGATGTGATAGCAGAAGACAACCTAAGGACCACCTGTCTCCCATCGTATCTGCCCAGCTGATTCAATCTGGCGGGGTTGGTGGGCTCCAAGTTTCTTCGATTAAACAATGGCTTCTACAGTATTGAGACCCTGGAAGGCTTCTCTGTAGCAGCACCTTCCCTCTGGAATGAGGGTCCCCCTAAGATCTGGATGGGGGACAGGCACCTGCTGGAGTTTCAAAGGGCCTTGAAGACCTGGCTCTTCACCCAGGCCTTTGATGAGAAAAATTGAAGCCCCCTTTGGACTATGTGGGTTGGTTTCTCTTCATTCCCAACAGTTTTTTAGTCACCCTTCCGATCTTCACTCCTCATTTTTGTCTATCGCTGTATTTTTTCCTTTTTTAAAATGCTTTTATTTGTAGCCACCCAGAAGTGTTGAGAGTCAGGCAGCATATACAGTACATTTAACAAA